ATTCCTGACTTCTGAGGTCTACACCTAGTCTACCCATGAATTATAAGACTTTTTTTATTTAAAGAATTAAGCCTAGATCAGTGAGAAACTTTATGTCTAGCAATATCATTTCTAATAATAAACTAACTCCAATAAATGAATGCCCATTAATAAAATGAGTAATTAACAACTATGCTGCAATGAAGATAATAGACATAACTATTAAGTGACAAATTAAAATAATTAATTTAATTTTAGTTCGATTGTACTTTTGCTTAAAAATATATTCCTACATTCTAGCTACCAGCAATATATCAAAGAATGTACCTTTAGAATAAAGATTAGTAGAACTTGAAAAGTCTCTTTACTGAGAAAAATACAAGGCTTGTTGAGCTCTTAAGCACTAGGTGGGTCACTTAAGAGTCTTGACAATGTGAGTCAACCACATCTTTCAGAAATATCTACATTGGATGATTTAAAAAAAAACAAACAGAAAAACATTATCTCAGGACTGAACTGGTCATAGTTCCCTGAAGAAAATGTTCCATATGACTGAACCATCACGTTCGTGATGAATGAATACATTATCCTTACTTCCTTTAAAGATGATCTTGGGACAAGTGGGGCAATCTGTTTTCTATTCTTAGCTGGAATACAAGCAGTTGTTCTTTTTCTAGATGGAAAAATATTCTTTTTCAATAGACTTTCCTCCAGTTAGACAACAGTCCAAAAAATGACCAACATTCTACTTTCTTGGAGTCATTAAAATTTTCTTGACATATGTGATATGGTGAAATGTACAGTATGGTACAGTGAAAAGAACCCTGGAATTAGAATCAAGAGGTTTATGTTTGCATCCTGGTTCTGACACTACTAGATGGCTGACCAAACTAAGTTGTTTTACATCTCTGACTTCAGTTTCAGAAGGAAGAATTCAGTCCTCATAATCCCTTAGGTTACATTCCTTCCAGCTCTGACTTTATGTGATTCTTTGTGTAAAGATGAACTCAATGTTCCCTGCCTCCTGCCCCTTACAAACTGGCTCCCTCTCCTGATTTCCCTATTTCTACAAATGTCGGCTTCATTCTGCCAATCAATGATGCCTAAAACCTTCAGGTCATACAAAATTTAGTACCAGTCTGCCTTTCCAAACTTTTCTTGCACAAATGTTCTTCACACATCCTATATTACAATCAAACTAGACTATTTGGTGTTCCCTAAATGTAGTCCCTTTTTCTGCAACCACATCTTTGCTCATGCCATTCCACCTTTTTTTTTTTGCACAAATCTGCCTAATCCTGACCACATTTAAAGACCCAGAACAAATGCAACATTTAATGTGAAACTTTCCTTGATCTTCCTTCACAGAAGTTATCTTCTTTTCTTCTATAACCCCATAGTGCTTTGTTCATGTTTCTTGGAAAGTGTTGATTTATATGGATTGTAGTGATTATGGTTTCAACTTATATGATTCACTACGCAATTAGCAGGAGCCTAGCAGATTCAGTCAATCAATCAGTTAAGCACTAATTAAGCACATATTATGTGCCAGGCATTGTGCTGAGTGTTGGGAATACAAAGAAAGGCAAAATCACTGTCCCTGTCCTCAAAGAGAGCACATTCTAACAGGAGAGTCAACATGTAAATGTCTATGTACAGATAAGATACACATAGGATACACAAAAGCTCTAGTAGTTGGAACAAGGCAAGGAAGGCCTCCTCCAAAAGGTCATATTTCAGCGGAGTTTTGAAGGAAGCCATAAGGCAGAAATGAAGAGGGCAAGCATTCTAGGCGCGGGGGGTCAAAACGTGCAAAGACACAGAGAAGGGAGATGGAACATTCTATGTGAGGAATATCAAGTAATCCAGTGTAGCAGAATCACGGAGTATTTGGAGCAAGCAAAGCATCAGAGAATGAGAAGGGGCCGGGCTGTAAAGGGTTTTAAATGTATATTGATCATGTTGGTAATAGGGGGCCATTGGAGCTTATGGAGTTGTGGCATGGTAAGTTCTGACCTGAGCTCTAGTAAGTTATTTTGGCACCTGAGTAAAGGAGGAATTGGAGTGAAGAGAAACTTAAGGCAAGAAGTCCAACCAAAAGGCTACTGCAACAATCCAGGCATGAGGTAATGAAGGGTTTTGCCAGTGTGAATAGAGAGAAGGGAAATATATATAGATATAGATATGAAGGTGGAAACAATGACTCAACAACAGATCGGACATACAGGGTGAATGGATGTGAAGAGCAAAGTACGACACCAAGGTTTTAAGCTTGTATAACTGAGAGGATGGTGGTGTACTTGACGGTAATAGGAAAATTGGGAAGAGAAAGACAATGAGTTCTGCTTTATACTACCCAAGGCAGCTCCCCAATCCACTTTTAAAGTCCCTCAAATTCACTCTTACAACTTTCTTTTTCTTAAGCAGGAATTAACCCTATCTATTATGTTACTGGGAAGACTGAGGACATCTATAAGACTTTTCTGATCCCCCTTAATGTTAGAGTCTTCTCTGTTTGATTATTATTAATTTATCCTGTACATAGCTTGTATAGAATTGTTTGCATGTGGTCTCCCCTTTAGAACACAAGCTCCTTAAGGGTAGGTACTGTATTTTACCTATCTTTATATCCTCAAGTGCTTTAATATAGTACCTGGCACATAATAAGCTCTTAATAAATGCTTGTTGATTTTACTTGACTTGATGTATGGGGAGGTCTGTCATCAGCACCTGACACTCCCTGTCCCCAAACACATAATTGAAAACATTTCTGTGCCTTTACCTACCCTCTTATTTTTACATTTAGGGAATGAGACCACCTCTTACCTTTAGCACTGCAAACTCCTAAGTTTTTGCTCTCAATCACATTCCTCCCCACCTCCTCCAAGAAGCTTGCTTTATCAATCTTTCCTCTCTCTCATCTTGAAGATTTCCCCCATTACTGGCTTTTCCCCTACTACTGACAAACATATATTCAAGTCTTTTCTATCCAAAAAACAAAAACAAATTTCCAGTGACCTAAAGATGATGATGATAACAGCCAGATAATAATATATATTATTTATATAATATTTAAAGGTTTGTGAAGAGCTTTACATGTGTTACCTCTTTTGAACATCACAACACCCCCTATGAAGCAAGTTATTATCTCCACTTTACATTTGAGGAAACCTTAACTGAAAAGATGTTAAGTGGCTTACCCAAGAGTCATACAACTAGTAAGTACCATCCCCTCAATTCTCATAGTATATTTCCCCTTCCTTTTATTGCCAATTTTTTTTTGAAGTCTATACATATTTTCTCCACTTTCTCTCCACCTAATCATTCTTCAATGCTTTGAAATTTGACCTCTAACCCCCCTCCCCAGTCTACTGAAACTGTTATCTCCAATAACCTCTAACTTGTCAAGTACATGCTTCTCAATATTCAAGTTGTTTGTACCCTGATCACCTCTTTTTCTTGGGTAGTCTCTGTTCCTTTAGCTTACACTACGTTATTCTCTCCTAGTTTTTCTCCTATATGACTTATTGTCCATAGTTTCTTTTTGATAATTCATCATTTTAGGTCTTCTCTTTTCATATCCTCTCCCTGCAAGATCCCATCTTCTCCTATGGCTTTAACTATAAGTGTAGTTCTCGAATCTTTATCTCCATCTTCAATTTATCTTATTCCCTCAACTACCTGATGTTCAATTGCCTGCTTAACATCATTGCATGGATATCCTGCTGGCACCTTCAATTCACCATGTTTAAAACTATATTCAATCTCTGTACATATTTTCTATTTCTGTTGATGTCACCATTATCCTCCCAGTTGCTCTGATCAATAACTTTGGAGTTATTTTTCATTGTTTCCCTTCCCTCACCCCAAACATTGAATCACTTATTTACTTAATCTTATTGATTTCACATTTGCAATATCACTATCTATCCCTATTTATATCAATCCTTATCTCTCCATAGTACTACCACCTTTATTTTTTTTAGGCCTAAGATATTGTTGTAGCCTTCTAATTGGTCTCTCTGTGTCCATGCTTATCAATCTCTGGAATATCTTTCAAAAAGCTGACAAAATAATTTTCCTATTACAGAAACTTAACAATGTCACTTACCTAGTCAAAAAAATCATTGGCTCCCTACTGCCTATGAGATAAAATAAAAATTCCTTATTTCCTATTCCCTCTAGGATCAAATACAAATTCTTCTGCTTGGCATGCAAATATCTTCACAACTTGACCCCTTCCTACTTGTCCAAGTCTTTTCTATTCATTCTTATTCTTACATTTTTTCCCTTTATACTCTACTATTTTGCCATACTGGCCTACTCAGTGTTGGGTGAGGATGACACACCATCCTTCCTTTCCAAGTCTTTGTATCAATTGTCTACCATGTCTGGAATACACCCCTTCCTCACCTCTGTCTCTGTAAACTCTGGTTTCCTTCAAGATTCAGCTTAAGTGTTATCATCCTTACAAATATTTCTTGATTACCCAGTTGCTCCCCATACTAGCCCATACTCATTTTTATATATTCTGTATTCTCTTGCATATGATTATATTGTCTTCCTCATTAAAATGTCAATTCTTTGACAGAAAATACTGTATTTCTTTTTTTGTTTGTTTTATCTCCACATCTTAGAATATATTTCTGGTATATAATAAACATTCAATAAATGCTTTTTGATTGATAGATTGATTAATCTTCCACAGTATATTTCAAATCTACCAATTTCAGACTTATTTCAAGTAACTCTCTTTCATGTACTCTACATTCCAGCCAAATAATAAATGATGTACAACACAATATAATATAACAAACATAAGCACTCACTATGTACAGGGCACTATAATACAGGGGTATTGTGTGTAGAGACAGTTGGTTTAATTCTAATGCTGAAAAGACCCAAGACTCCAAGCTCTTATAGTGCACCATAGAACTTCCAGACATTAGAATTTAAATTTCCCATGAATAATTTTCCTAACTGAACCTAAAAAGATGGGCTAAAAATATTTGAACACTTACGTTTACAGGTGGGTGGCTTTCCTCTGTTACTCCACAATCCATCTTCTTGACAAGTTGCTGTTCCTTGTTGACTAGATTCTAGCCTGAAGCCTTCATTACATTCATAATTCACTTTACTGTCCAAAGTGAACTCATTACCCATAAAAGATCCATTTCCAGGAGATTCTGGAATGCCACAGGAAACAGCTGAAAATAAGAAAAAAAATCTGGTTCACTCATATGCTATCAAAATATATTTATATTTCATGATTCTTTCTACTTCAAAAGCTTGTGAGGAAAGGACTTTGAGAAATTTAAATAAATGTAGATTATTATTATTCCTAATATTTTCTCTGGATAATTGACAAGAGAGTTATTCACATTCTCAAACAACTACACAGTAAGCTGAGACTTCCTAGTGATTTCCTAGAAATTAAAGTGAATAGTTTAAATATTGTTTTTCCCTTAATCCACATTTAGGTCACTGCTTTTAACATATGCCCAAATTTTAAGGCTGAAAGTCATTTTAGTGATCATTTTATCCAAACTGTCATTCTACAAGTGGAAAAAGGAGGCCCAGGGAGATTGAATGACTTTTCCAAAACTCTGTTGATAGCAAAGGTAAAGCTAGGATCCTTGTCTGTCATTATTGCCACTATACCATACTGCCTTTATTAACTTATCTTGCTGTTTAGTTTCAAGTACAGTTTTGTAACAGGTGCTATGTGATTTTTCAAAAAGAAAGATATAGTTCCTGAAATCAAGGAAATTAGAATTTAATCTAGTGAAAAATTTAATCTCTAATAGCTTCTTGAGGTAAAATTATGAGTAATTGTCATAGAGATCCCACTGTTGCCTATACACTCTGAGATTAAAGATAGAAAAAAGGTCTCATTTACACAATTCTAATAGTAATTTTTATAGTAACAAAGAGTTCAAAACAAAATGGATAATTATCTATTGAGAAATAGCAAAATAAATTGTGATATATGAATATAGTAGAATACTATTATGCATAACAAATGATAAATGCAGTACACAAATATAGAGAAAAACAAAATGCAGTAAATAGAATAAGAAAAACAAAGACTACAACAAAGAAAGATTAAACAAAAACAAAGAAAAGAGAGAAAGAAATGCAATTGTGTAATTATAATGACTACACTGAAGAAGAGATGTGAAAATAAACATCCCTCCCTTAAGAGGTAGGAAATTTATGATGTGGGGCTATGCATATGCTTTGCATATCAGACTTGGTTGATGTGTTGATTAGTTTTGCTGAATTAAATTATATCTATCTTTCTAACTATACACACATGTACATATGTCTGTATGTGTGTTGTTGTTGTTGTTGTTATTGTTCTTTTGGTTTAAATGATGGCTGTCTTGGCAACCAGATGGAAAAAACAAGAAAGGAAGGAGATATAAAAATATAATATATGAATAAACTCAGAGTTTTTTTCACTATGGGGGCTGGGGAGGGGGGTTTGGACCTATGATTTCATTAGTGATGGGAATTATCAGTGTGGACACTGTCTCTGCAAATGTATATGAACATCACGCTCACACCAGGACATATATGTCTGTATGTGTGTATACACACATATATACAAATCTACATATATGTATACATACATATATACATGTATGTAGATATAGTAGGTATATTATAGCTATATGAAAATTCTTATTTTTTTCATATGAAGGAAAACAATACTTCCTGAAATCAAGAAGATAAATTTAAATATAATGGAAAGTTAAACTACAAAGATTATACACACACACACACACACACACACCTGTGTGTGTGTGTGTGTGTGTGTATTGATGGAGGGAGTTTTCATAGTAAGAATTCCCTACAGTGATGAAAACACAGGTCCTGATAAATACATACATATATATAAACACATACACATACTCCCCTACATACCCACATATAAGAATAGCCGATACTTGTAACCAGAGGCATATCTTTTGTAACAAATTTTTTTTAAAAGAAGGGAGGGAGAAGTAGTTTAGCAAAAGTAACCAACACAGCAATCTATTCTGATACTATATGCAATGTTACATATTTATAGTACTGCACCACTTCAAAGAGCAAAGAGTCATACATTGTAAATCTCTTCTTTCCCAGGGCTTAGCACAGTGCCTGGCATATAGTAAGCCTTTAATAAATACTTGTTGACTTCTTGATGTGATTTCTTTGTGGCTAATCTTGTTCCTCAAAATTATACAATATTCCCTTTCCCCCCCTTCTTTTCATTTATATAGTTATAGTCATTATATATACATATATATTTTTTCTTGGCTCCACTCAATTTACTTTGCATCAGCTAACATGTCTTCCTATGCTTTTCTGTATTCTTCATATTCATCATTGGTCAGAACTTAAAGGGACCTGAGAGGTAGATGTGTGCATATATGTGTGTGTATCTGTATATGGATGTACACACATACATATATACATACACATACATACATTTGTGTTGTAAAATGTATATGTATATGAGCACATATACAACTTGTATATGAAATTATGTATGTATAATATTTATTATACATAATCATACAATATGTATACATATTATACACATACTATAAATACATACACACACATACACATATATATCCTAACTTGCTCCTAACAACAATAGAGCTCACTTCATAGACAGTTGTTTGTTTTTTTTTTAATTACAGTGTTTTTATTAAACACAAGCTTAGGTTAAAACTAACTTTCTCTATTTTCACCTTCTCTGAAGCACTTATTTGTCTCCACATGTATTTCTTATCACTGTGCGTTCACAGCGGCCTATACAAAGCCAAGCAGGAGTGCCAAAAAGCTAAGGATATGTAGGGGCATGGGCATGACGGCCAACATCTTATCCATGAACTTCAAAGACCTTATTCAAACAAAGGCTGAAGAACTAAAATTGTTTTCATGCCTATTATTGGGAAAAGGCATGAAAGAAAATAACTACACCTCTGAGTGGACTGTGGTATACATTGACAGGTCTGTTTGTACAGTGAGAGAAGATCTGGGTGCCAAAGTCACTTCAAGGTCTGATTGATATGGCAAAGTAGGGCATAGTTTCTGAGATAGGAAAGCTGTGAAAACAAAAAAAAAATGTATTGAAGACTTAAAAAAATGAACTTATTGGGACTGCACTGAACTGACAGTGGGTCTAGAGATTCAGATTACATCCAAACCATGTCCTGGGGGAAGAGATGTCTCCTTCCTTTCTATAATTCTTCAGGTGTTACAGCCATACTAGCCTGAGGTCACAATATACTCATCTAATTAAGTGATGAGGGTGGGCACAGCCTGAGGAAGAGAGGTTGCCATCATGACCAGTTTAAAGTCCATGTGTCCTACTGACTTCCACCTTCCAAGAATTTGCCTACGCAGGCTCCACTCCATCCATAAGTAGGAGGACAGAAATACAAACATATCTCTTTTACCTACAGTGATATAACCCCCAAAATTTCAGCAATACGATCTAATACAGAGCCTTTCTAATTGTCTTTCAAATGTTTCCTTGTCCTCCTGGTCCAAAAGCTACTTTCTATCAAGCTGAAGGAAATGCTAAGCATTTATTTCTAAGGGTAGTTTAAAAACATCTACAACATGTTTTCTGTTGGAAAAGGTTGGCATTTCAGAAGATTCCTCTTCCTAAATTTTCACAGCATGGATTCATTTGGATAAAAGAAACAAGGAATTCTTTGAAATCATCCAAGGTGGCAGCTGGTTTTTTTTTGCTTTCTGGTGACAGAGATGCTCTGCCATAATTTATCCAGTTTGGTGTTAGTGTGTAGAGTGTGTATGGCCTCCAGAGATTGCAGGGGGCTGCCTAGGGAATTGAGGTCAGTGTCCCTCAGTAAATGTGAGTCTGAGGCAAGATTTCAGCCCAGTTCTTCCTGGCTCTTTGCTTCTGTCAACTGTGCCATAATGGCAAATTAATATTGTTGTCCAATTAATGTCATCCAAGGAAGGGATAAGTTGAGCTCTTCTGGTTCCTGATGATTTCAAGTTTCTTCATCTTCTGAATAACTTTCCTCTTCTTGCACAACCATACTTCACCCAAGAATTTAGCTTTTGTACAGGAAAACAATGGATGGTGGTATCAATAAACATTTCTACATATTGTAATATCTGAGGAAATTCAATCTCTGCTATTCCTCTTAAAATCTTTGCCACATAGGATTAATTTTTCCCCCCTAAGGAAACCTTCTTAATAACTTTACTTCAGTTCCTTCAAAACTATTTCCAGTAATCATCACTTTGGAAAGGGAAGTGACTGACCAGTTTCTCCATAAAAAATTCCTATGCAAAACTGTTTCACAATAGATCACATAAAAATTGGTGGGTTCACCACAAACACTCTGTTTTCCTTTCTTGTTCTCAATGAAAACAGTCATATTGAAGGCATTAAGAACTGAAACTTCAAGTTCATATTAAACAGAGGATTAAATACACAGCAGCAACTCTGAGAATCTCTAACTTTTCCAGAAAAAGAAATAAAAATGCTAGTTGATTGTGGGCTATTACTCATGAAACAAACTTCCCATTTCCATAACAAACACACTTAAAATGACTCATCTTCTTCAATGGGTCTTCCCTCAAGTTGGAGTTGAGTATCTCAATTGTTTGCTGTGATGGTTCCAGGTGGAGGCATTCAAGGACTTATGAAATGGGCTCTGTAGTTCCCTGTAGTTGTTCCAGAGACTTAGTAAAACACTTCTGGATGATTCCCTGTCAAATACCAGAAATTGGAGATTAGCAGGCCCAATAGATGGAAGGCTCTGGGTTTGAATCTTGCCTCTGCAGCTGGTTCCCAGTGTGCCTTCAGATGAATTCATGCCCTGGTCCATAGGGCCTCAGTTTCCTCCTCTGTACACTGTCTCCATCACTCTGAGGAGACATCACCTTCTCCTTCTCCTTAGGTAACTGGGGACCAAAGCCAGGAGATTCCAGACCCCAGAGAAAGATGCATGCAGGGGGTCCTCCTACTCACCAGCTGCTGTCCGTGATGACATCCCATAGAGCATTTTAAGATTTTACAAGCAACTTATTTTCCAAAAGCCATGTAAACTAGGTAATGAAGACATTATTATCCACAATGGACACAAGAAAGACCTGGATCACAGGGAAGTGCAATGATTTTCCCTTTGTACTCCTGGGCCAGTGCTCTTCCCATGATACCACATGG